ACACACACACACACACACATATATATATATATATATATATATGTGTGTGTGTGTGTGTGTGCGCGTGCCTTGTATTCCTCACAGTGTGGGGAACAAACATCCACACAGAGTATACCAATATCACTACATTTTGACCTTGTGGGGACATTTCTGTGGTCCCCATAACGAAAAACAGCTCATAAATCACACAGAATAAAGTATTTTAAAGATGTAAAAATGCAGATTGCTTACTGTGAGGGTTGGGTTTAGGGTTAGAGTTGAGGAAGAAGGGTCGATTATAGAATCTGTGCAGTATAATATATATATATATATATATGTGTGTGTGTGTGTGTGTATTTGTGTATATACAACAAGGGTCATCAAATACCACAGTACCAATCTTAACAATTACCATTTAAGTAACTGATCCCCTCAAAAATGTATAAAAAAAATTAATAATGCATTTAATAACCATTGAGCCATATACAATGATTATTTAATGAAAAATGTGATGTATGATATAATATGATGAGTCACTGGTAACAGATTAAGCTTTCATTTTGGGGGGTAAATTAATCTGCTTAAATTAGTTAACATCATCATAACTGACATAAATATCACGAGTTTATGTCAGTAACATGAGAAGCAGATACAATTTTATTTGCTTTTAAGAGTGTCTTGATGTTCCTTAAGCAAGTAATCCATTAAAAGTGCAGATTTAACTGTATACTGTAACTGTATACTGTACTTTAGGAGCAACAATATCCATGTGCTGACGCTTTCACCATCACTCCCCTTCATGCATTACTATATCACACAGTGTGCAACACTCACACGTAAAACTCAACAAGTATAGCAAAAAAATGTCCAAATTCTCTTACACTGCAGACTGAAGGACACTCAGAGTCAGACAATACGGTCAACGAGAGGACAGAACATCAGGATAGAGTTGAAGCTGAGGTAATTTTGGAGCTGTAATGCAAATATTATGCATAGTACAAAGATTATGGTGAGTGTGTGGAGCATTTTCTGCATACTTTTGCATTAAGTCAGTTCAAATGTAAAAATAAAAAGGTTTTGTAAGCTGTTAACATGAAAGCAGGTTTTTAAAGATGCTGTATGTAAGCTTTTGACTCTTCTAAATCATAATAATACCATCATATGTTTGCAGATATTAGAGAAACATGCGAACATCTTTGTCTGTCTGAAAAATCATGCTAAAGTCAGTTATTCTGCTTTGAAAATGTGTGTCGCGTGTCAGAACGTCTGTCTTTGTTTTGGTCTCTATAACCAGCCCACTGCCAGTTTACCAAACTATATTTCATCCCCCGGGCTTGCCTTGAAGGAAGACACACCCAATTCAATTTCAGTCTTGATTGGACGATACATAAAAATGGCAAAATGAAACTCACAAGAAAATTATTAATAATAAATAAATAAATAAATAAATGTATACACTGTAAAAAAAAAACTAATTTTACAGAAAATATCTCAAATTCTTTTACCAAATTTTTTGTCATTTCAAATTATAATCAAAACTGAGTAAAATGACAAACAATCTTTCTAAAATAACAGTTTGATTTTTATTTTGGGTACTTTATCATTAAAGACAAATTACTGTCATTTTTGTTTTTTACACAGGGAAATTACAGTATTATTCATACAGCATTTTTTCAGTTATTTAAATTATATTCAAAACTCTGTAAGAATTACAAACAATATCTGTAGATTAACAGCTTGAATCTTATTTTATGTATTATATAATTAATGATAAATGACAGCAATTTGTCTGTTTTATACAATAAATTCCCGCATTATTATTTACCCAGTGTTTTTCCTGTTTTTTTAAGTACATCTAAAATCATGTAAAATTAAAGTAATAAATTGTATATTAAGGTTTATGACAATGCTAACAATTTTTTAATTATTGTAAGTTTAAAGCAAACCCTTATTAGTTTTACTTTTAAATGTATTTTTATATTTATTTGTTATGTGTATATTTATTTAAAAAAATAAAACAACTGAATAAAATGACTGGCAGTTACGGCTGCCAAATAAAAATCATAAAACTAGGGTAAAATGTCTGTTGAAATAAAGTGCAAAAATAACAAATCTACAGATATTTTCATTAAAATATTTACAAAGAAACGCTGATATTTTACAGACATTTCCTAGATTATTACGATCCAATTCATTCCATAAAATTACAAAATAAGAGTTTTACAAAGAACTAAAAGTTCAAGAGAAAACAAGAGAACAAGGGAAATAAAGTGTATGACTGCAGCCAAAAACGTGACCTCTGGAGGACCATGAACATATATAGAAATGCCAATGAGCGGAAAAGTGACATATATTTTGTTAGTAACAGGTAATTGCAACTACCAACAACAAGAAGGACAAAGTTGCAGTGTTGCTTTAAAGGTACAGTTCATCAAAAAAAAAAAAAAAAACTCTGGCATCATTTTTCACCCTCGACTTCTTCCAAACTAATTTGAGGTTGCTGTTGTTCTTTTTTTAACTAAAAAAAATACACACACACATATACACATACATACATACATATATATATATATATATATATATATATATATATATATATATATATATATATATATATATATA